TCATTCGAGGCAGCTTGAGCCGCATGCCGCTGTGCTGCAGAGGCTCATCGTGGCTGGAATGCAGAACATCGCCAACCAGCTTGTTTCCAACATGAAGCAGAGATGGTGCTAAACGATTTCTGTACGCTCACCAAGGCTGCATTCAAACCTTGCAAAGACCAAATTTTAGTGTACGTAGTTGTTAGGGAGGGAAATGGTAACGTTATTCGTCATTGTAGTTCTGTAAAATTGAAAAATACTCAACACTCCAAGAACGCCTGCTTTTCCTGAGTGTTTGTTGATAGCATCGTCATTGCTGAATATGCGAGTACTGACGGTTTTTATTTTATCTTTTTTATTTCCTCCTTCCAGCTTACTGAGGCAGGTTCAGGTGTCAACTGCTTGGACTCCATGTGCTGCTTCTCAGATGGGGAAACAGCATGCGCATCTGCTGGAAGAGTGCTGGAACGACTGATGGGGAGGTGCAGTCCCGCCCGGGCCAGCAGGTGCGGCATTTCTCTCGGTAGCCTTTGCTGCAGACGAGTCTCCTATAAGCTGGAACCCGACGAGCCTGCAGCCATAGATGTCTAGCAGACCGGCTGCAGGGTTTGCGTGTTTCAGTAGGGAACGCAACTCCTCGCTGTACTTTTCTCATCCTAAAAGACAAGTTTCTTCGTTCTTTTTGAGTGCTTTCTTTTGGAACGGGGAGGGTGAAAAACAGTTTTCAAAAGATTTCTGTTGAAGCGTTTCGTTTGGCTTAGCACAAGTTCTTCTGTTGGATCTGTCCTAAGTTCTCTTGATTTGTACATTCTCCTCTTTAGAAAATCAAGCCTTGCTGCTGTTTTCATTCTCTGTTTTATGATTTATTATTTGTTTTGCCTTCACAAATCAGGAGTGGTTTGTAAAGTCAAAAGACTTTTCCCTTTGGTTCTTGATGTATGACCTCCAAATAGTTACCTTGGAGCTTGCATTACTCCTGAAGATATACAAAAGGCTCACACTTCCCCCCCACCCTTAAATATAACTTCACTGTTAGGAGGAGAGTCTTTAAATCTTTCAGCCATTGATTGAGATGAAGATGAAATATTTTTGTAGTAGAACTTTTATAATCTATTTCTAAAATCCGAGTAATTGACAGAATAGAGCCTTCAGGCTCTAAGAATTTTAAACGTTTTTCTGGTTCTGGAAGGTGTATCACCACAACCATGTGTGCCATTCCAAAGTGTGTGCTAAATAAATCTTTGTCCTTCACCAACCACGTGTGACACAAACCGCAGTGGGCTGAAAGCGCGTCAGTCTCGTCCAATACGGCTGAGGGGCAGCACGGTCCTGCGGCCCGCGTGGCCCAGAGAAGAGCTCTCGCTGAGTCTGTAACGTGCTCCTCCCCGTTTCCCAGTGGAGAGGGATGGCTAACAAGCCCGGGAATGTTTGGGGGGAGAAATGAAAACAGTCTTTTGTACATCGTGATCTCTCAGTCCCTGAATGATACCATGGCCCTGCCTTGCTCAAAAGACAACCCTGAAAAAGCTGCGCTTCACACGTTTTCAAGGAAACTCATTTGCATTTGATCGGCTTTGCCCCTTCGGTTAAAGGCTGTGGGATCATTCCTTCGGGAGCCTCCTGCCCGTCGCCCTCGCGGGCAGGCTCCCTGCGTTCGGGGTCTGCCCTTCGCTGGTGGCTCGGTGTGGGGCACATCTCTGCTCTGAACTCGCGTGGAACTCGGTGTCTGTGCTTCAGCCAGTTTCTCTCTTGCTTAGGAAATGATTCAGCGTTTCTACAGATCTAGGGTATGATTATGCAAAATGTTTAATTCCATATGGAAAATGAACTGTTACGATTAAGTACCTTTTTAATTCCAACTCTTGCTGTATAGAAAGCGGGCATGATGTGTAAAATAAACAATTTAATAGAATTTTTAATCCACAAGGTGAGCATTTAATTTAATTGGTCTAAAATCAACATTTTGGTAGCAGTTGCTCTAAATTTTGGGGTTGGTTTTTTCCCATGTCTCTGTAAAGCTGTGCTTTCCAATGAGGAACTTCTCGTGCTACATCTTTTCGTTTATTGTTATCTAATCAGGGCAGATTTTTAGTTGACATTTGCCTGGGGAGCATGCAGTCTTACAAGGTAGGTGCTCTGGGGTTTATTTTCTGCAGTGCATTTACATTTCTTACAATTCTCTCTTTTTTTTCCACTCAATTTTTCTTCCTTTAAGAACTTACAAATATTGATTGAGGATAACTCATATTTGACAGAATATTAAACACTTTTGAAGACTCCTTTTTCTCAGGTTTCTCGTCTGCTTACCTCATGTCATTCTCGGACGAAGTCCCATCCAGCTGAATAACTGAGAGTCACTAGAACACGGGAGTGGGTGGTGTTTAATGAATAGCAAAGCTGTCTCTAGCTACACTAAGGGCTTGGAGTTCTGTACTTTTTGCTTCTGCCTCTGGTTGAAATTACTCTGAACCATCTTCTGGTTTCACTTAAATTTATGTACAGTGCAACGAGAAAAGCCTTTTTTTTTTTTTTTTTTTTTTTTTTTTTTTGAGAATTTCAGCCCTACTTGCTCTCTTCAGTTACTCCAGTTCCTCCCAGTCAGCATTGACACTTAAAATCCAGTCTGAAAGTCGAGGTGCTGAGACTGGTTTTTCCCCTACGCTTTCCTGGCAATATGTGGAAAGTCTTGGTCTATTTTTTTAATGTACTCCTTGCCTAAGTCGCACGAGGCAGTTAAGAGTTGCACAGTTAAGAAATCTATTTGGTGACCTAAAAATCCTTGTAAAGTTGCTCAGCCTGAGTTCCCGAGCTCAAGCTGCCGTGGCTTTTGCCTGAGGCTGGGATCTGCAGCAGGCTGCGCAGCCCCGGGCGGGACGGGCTCCTGCGCTGTGTGAAAGGGCTGCCAGTCGGCGCTGATGCTCCCGAATGCGCTGCCTGTGAGAGCGCTGCGGAGCGACGAGCGCCAGTGTAAATGGCATTGCTGTCCTCGCTCGTGTGCGCGCTCTGCTCCTGATAGTCTGTCAAATGTGGTGCCCTGTCAACTACGATAACGGAGCATGAAATCAAACGTGGTGTCAAATTTTGATAGAAGCTGTGATGAATCAAAGCTGTACAAATGCTTGGAGTAGCGGGTCGCAGCAGTAGTCTCTTGTACTCAATGTACTGCTGTAAGATGTATGGGAGATGTGATTTCTATAGCTTCGTTCCCCAGCTGGGACACAGACTGTGTGTTGTGGCACGACAAACGCATTGCTGTCTGTCCCGTCACTTGTCCGTCACTGACACACAAAGCATGCTGGGTCGCACGCCGTCTGGCGCAGTCGGATCCATTGCTGCATTGTGGGATCTCCCGTTCCCGGGGCTCGTGTCCAGGCATCGCATGCAGAGTTCCAAAGAAACAGCAGATCTCTGACAGAGAGGCGGGTTTGGAGGATAAGTTCGTTAGGTTTTGATTTCCTGGCTTCCAACCTTCATCTCCAGTCCCGCAGTATTGCTCAACCAGGAGGAGGGTTTCTTCCCAAGCAGTCACCTGTCCCTAAGGGAAGGACATTGCGAGACCCCATCTGACGCAAAAGCTCCGACACATTGGGTAGTTTTCCTGATGCCTTAAATTTTAAGGTGAATTTAAGAGTAAGGGATGACATCGATTTGTGGCCGTAGGTAAGTTGTGCCTCCCGTAACTCCAGACCGAGTGGACATTTAATGTTAGAACAGGGGTGCCCTGGGTTTCCCCGGTCAGCGGTGCGCCCCGCGGGGCCCTACTGGAGGGACCTTACGCTGGATCACACGGCAGCGTCCCCAGTGGCTCGGCACACAGGCGTGTCCTCCAGGCACAGCGTGAACGCTTCAGTTGTAGAACTGGCACCCAACCCCTGCTCCTTCGAGTTCACAGCGACGGAAATGCCTGTAGCTTTCTCTCTCGCTTTCATAGACTTCTCCCCTCTCGAGTATAAGTTCCCAGTCAGCCAAACTTTTCTTTTATTGTCACTTTAGATGGTGGAGTTCATCGGACCCCTTCTATGCCAGCGACAGAAGCATCTTGACTCTCTCCACCATGGACTCGCCCACTTGTTGACAGGGACGTTTGTAAATGCCGTGGGAGGCCAGGTGCTGCTCACGCCGGTAGCAGGCTCTGGAGCAAGCTCAGGGCTGCGTCCCTGCCCTGGGAGGGACGAGCGTGACTCCTCGATGGCAGCCGGGGCTTGGCTGGGGGCCTGGCGTGTCTCGCCTGGGCAGCAGTCGCTTCCAACACTTTCTCTAATTATATCCACAGATCGCTATATAATTTTTATTCATGAGTGCTTTTACCTCTGACCATTTACCCTTTTTGTTACCACGCGAGCAGATTGGAATCCTGCGTTTGGTACTTGAGACGTCGCCGTAGTGCGGCGGCAAAGTCTGCTCCCAAATCGGAGTAATCCCATAGCGCTGAGTCTGCGCAGCGGAACCTGTGACGCCTGCGTTCTTGGCGGCGACGCTTGGTGTCAAGCACACAGGTTCATCCTGAGCCCTCGCTTGCAGATGGTGTCCCAGCAGTTTGCAAATCAGTTTTGTTATTTCCATGGACAGTTACTCCAGTCTATAACCAATCAGTTTGAGAATTTTTGAGAGTTAAATACAATTCAGAGATTTATGCTGGTGTGCGAATGGCAATCTATTGGTCACGGCTTTGAAAAACACTCTTAGCTTTTACAAATCAATAGCTTGGAATAAAAAGGGATTTAACAGGTCAGCATTCTCTGAAAGTGTAATTCAGTCGTCTTCCGTTACGCCCGGGCTTGTTAACAGTTCTTGATCTTGCCCTGGAGATGCGCAAGAACAGGGGGCTTGTGCAGAATTCCCACTAGCTTAAATTTTTTTAATTCTTAATGGTTTAAAAATTGGGGGGGTTTTGCATGTTTTATTCTTTTTCATGTATTTATATTTGGTCATGTTGTACTTTGAAGATACAATTACTGCTTAATTACCTTCATAAAGCTGAAGGATCTGGGGCACGGGTGGCGATGCTTTGATACCCAAGAATGCCAATAAAAGCAGCTTGCACAGACAGAGCTTTCGGTGTGCATCTCGCAGGGTGTCCCAGTACCCACGCGTCCGCGGGCTTGGGGCCGGGTGGCGGCCTCTGCCTCGCCCTTCAGCGAGGGTGGTGAAACCCAGGGCCAGCCACGAAACCGCCCAGGGCAGAGGGAATCCCTGCCGGGGGGGGGGAAGGGGGGGGAGCAAGCACATGATGTAGGGCATCGCTTTGGGGAACGGTGAAAATGCTGCGGCGTCCGGGCCCGTCCCTGGGCATCCAGTTGGACGTCACTGTGACCCCGAGGTCCCATCAGTCAGTCCCAGAACCGTCCTGTGGGGCAGCGAAAGGTGCAAAGCTGCACGCAAAAGCTGCCTCTGGGTGGAATAAACTAAATCAAATGCAGACTCTAAGTAACACCTGCAGGAACTTTGACCAAAGACGTGGTTGAGCGTAGGATTTGGGCAAAGCCAGCGATGGCTGCTTCCCGCCGGTGCCCTCAGTGCTGTCGCCCAAGCAAATTACACTGAGGATGTCGCAATTTGGGCAGAGCCATCCTGCCCTCCCGGTGTGCCATCTCGGGGGGGCTTGGGCTGCTGCCCCTCCCCGCCCTCGTCCCAAATTCCCCCCAGTTCAATGAGCAGCCGGGGAGGAAGCGTTCCAGAGGTCCGGCCTCCCTCATCCCGAATGCCGCTGCTGCTCCGTCCCTGTGCGCAGCTCCGCTGGTCGCTGTTCTTGTTCCTGACTTGAGCCGGGATTATTTCGGTTCTGCTTTGGAACTTTATTTTTGCGTTAACAACTGCAGGCGTCGCCGACCCGAAGGCTGCAGAACTGCGGGGTTTTCAAGATCCCGTTGTTCACGGCAACGTTTGTGTCGTTGAAGAAGTCGCTGCAGCCTTGTTCTGAAGCTCGTAGCGACTGGAGCCTGTGGAGCGGGAGGGCTTTGTCCCACTGCTTTAGACGGAGATGAGCTCACAAATTGGTGAAGAAGCTCTAAAAATTAATTATGAAACAGAAGAAATAAAATCAAAATACAGCAAACTTCCCTTTTACCTAAGTGTTTAATGTGGCGTTGGGGGTTCCTGACCGTGTCGTGCCTCCAGCGGCGGTGGCGCAGGGACGCTAAAGCTTTCAAGCCTCAGCTGTGTGCCCGATCCCCACCCCCTGCCCATGTGAGTGAGAACCACTGAAAAGGGAGCCCCAGTGCTCCATGCGATGGGCATCGGCAGGGGCCGCAGCGGCTGAGGGCGGGTTCTGTGCAGCGGGGGCCGGGGGCTGACGGGCATCGCTCCGGGCCCCAGCAGCGCTTCTGTCCAGACAGGCAGTAGTGACAAAATGCACTTGGATTGCACCCACCCCTGGAACTTCCTTACACATCAGCTGTGGAATATTGAATCTTTCTTGAAAATAATTATTCTTAGTAATTTCTCATTCTGAGAGTCTTCCATCATGCCACGGAGATCTAGAAAATAGTTTCTTGAAATGCTGGGTCAGAGATCTGCTGTTCAGCTGTAGCGCGTGTGTCTAAATCAGTGTCTCACTTCCCGAGGTCCTTGTCTGCCCGTGCCACCCGCAGCGCTGCCATCGTGCGCCCCGTGTGACCTCACTGCGCTCGCCGCTTGGTCTGTCCTGGCTGGAAACACGACCTGTGGCTGCCGTGCTCCAGCTGGAGGCAGAGGCTCCGTGACACAGCCCTGCTCCAAGCACTTAGCCTGGCTCAGCTCCCTACGCGTCTGGCGCTTGGCTTTTACCCCACGAAGGGGTTGGTTCTGTTTGCACAAGAATCACAGTCCTGTAGGTGAGGAATTATTTACGTTCATTATGTGTTTCTTTAAACCCTTCCATCTCCTCCTTCCCTCCCCTTTCCCTTTCTTTTCCCAGTGTTTGTAAGGGTATTGAAGAAAAGCACGTTTAAACAATTCGGGAAGAACATAGGAGTCCAGCTGCCTGCCAATGTGTATGTTCCTGTTTGTGGTAAATCCGAATCAGTAATTTCTCAGGTAGTGAGCCCACAGAACTGGGTTGCATAAGACGGGATCTTGTGGCCTGGAGGAAGCGACTGTTCTGGTACTGGTGACACAAATCTCTTGAAATTGCTTCTGTTCAAGGAAGAAAGATTCTGAGCGTTTCTTTGGCAGCCAAAGTGTGTGAAACCCTTCGCTGTGCATGGGGGACGCTGTCGAATTCATCATGAAGCCGCCTGAGCCCAATACAGCCGATGACTGGTGTAACTCGCATTCATCCCTGCTCTTGAATGGGGGGGCTGGGGGGGGGGGGGGGGGGCACAGCCAGCCTCAACGGGGCCGGGCTCGGCCCAGTTCTTGTGCTCTGAAAAAGCAGCTTCAGGTTTGTTACTTGGGAAACCATCAGTTTTAGTCGCTAACCTTCCACTTCCTGAAGGGTGCAGTGGAAAAGATGGGAGGGGGACGATTCTCTGATTTGTTCAACAAACTGAAATGTAAATATTATTCTGCTTAAACTGTTCTGTGTATTGAAAACTTCGGCTTTACATTTTCAAAATGATTCCTTGGTTTTCTAGTGCAAATGCTAATTTGAGAAAAGATGCAACCTAATGCATATTGGGCAACGCCAGCTTCTTACTGGAAACCTTTGGTAATAAAAACAGTTTTTTATTGACAGCATAACTTCTGTATTGGGAAGAAGTCTCATTTTCTAGTGTTAGAAATCTCTTAAAGCCATAGGCTACATTATTTTTACAGTTTTATCTATCTGCTATTTCTGTACTTCCAAATATTGGTGATCTTGGTGAAATTCAGTGTTCAGAAGTGCTGAATTGCAACGTGTGCCTGACCCATTTAGTTTGAGACGCCTCCTCTTGGTGTACAGCACCCGAAGGTGCTCGTGCCTTCATCCCTGCACGCGCCGCTGCCTTGGTATGCAGCTGGTGCCGGGGCAAAGGTGTTGTTATCCCGAGAGCTGGGCAGACCGGGCACTATGGCCTCAGTTCAGCCGTTCCCAGCATGTCCCAGGCTCCCTTCTTTGCTGATCTGGGGGCTTCTGTCAATGTTTTTAGTGTTGGTTGTTCCGCGTGTTCTTTGCATCTGTTGTTTGCTTCCAGTGGCGTGGTTTGTCTGGCTTCTGCTCCCTGTTGGAATGACTCAATGTGTAACAGGAGGAAAGCTTGGGCGCGCGTGGCTGCATCGCCGCCTGCCGTCAGCCGCCTCAGCAGCGCCTTGGCATCGGTGTTTGCGAGGCTTCTGCTTTCCGTGGCGTTTTCCTTCAGCTGATGCTGCTGGTGGCGGCAGCAGGCGTAACGCAGCCGAGCCCCGCGCGCTGCCCACGCTCCTGTGGCTGGCGCTAACGGGGCCGTTCCCACCCCGCCAAGCCTTCGCTGCGCTGCCGTGTGCTGATGCTGCCACAAGTGCTTGCACGTGCCATCACTGGCATGGCTGCCCTGTCGGTTCCAGTTTGTATAAATGCATAGACGTGAATAAAACCGGTGGGGCCGTGGGCCGAAGGGCTCCGCATGTGAGCTGAAGGGGCGAGGAAGGCCCGGTACCGCTGCGTGGCCGGCCTGAACGCAGCGCTGAGGGGCTCCGAGGGGGCTGGCAGCGCACGCCGAGCGCCCCGGCGGGATTGTTCCGTACATCAGCAGCGTCTCGGCCTCTGCACATTTTTAGAGTGGGATAAA